TTTCTTTGTGTCTGGATATGTGTTCTGATCCTGGCAGCTGTATGACCTTGGGCAAGACACTTAACTTTGCTAAGACAAATTTCCCTCATCTATTCAATGAGAATGTTATTTGCTTATCTTCAGTGAGACTTTGAGACTTGAATGAGATGGGGTATGTGGAGCTCTTGGGGCACAGCGAAGTCTTCTGCAGAGGCTCATGAAGTATTAATGAACAGCCCATGCCACTCTCTAATGTATGTACTTTTACTTCTTCCAATTTGAAGTTCTACAGTTCAATCTCTTTGAAAGGTTTCCATTATCTCCTTAATGCACTGTGCAACCAGACATATTGTCCCTAGTAGGCCAGTAAGTCTGGCTCCTCCAAGCCTTCCTGGGAAGTGGGTCTCTGAAGTCTGCTCCTGGCTGAGGGCTGTCTTCAGGGAAAATTGCATTGATTTTGCTAAAGCCAGAGGTCAATCAGTTTTGAACTCCCAGATGTTACATGGTTCACTGATGGCACACATCTTTTATTAGGCATCTACTCAGGGCTGCCTGTTGGATATCTCTTCTCTGCCTTTATAGACCCACTCTCCAGCCCTCTCTGTGACCCTGAGTTTGAACTGAAGAGACTGCTGGCTTGCTTTTGGGTTCAGTCTCAGGGAGCCTCAGCTGGCACCTGATGATGGAAGAAAGGTCAGGGGAGACATTGATTCTCCTGGCTTTCCTCAAAGGCGGTCCCCAGACTGGAGCATCTCTTCTCTGCAGGTTCATGCTCTTGCTAGGTGCTCCTGTTTTTCTCTGGGTTCCAGTAATACATCCACAGCCCCTGTTTTTCTCTGGGTTCCAGTAATACATCCACATTGTCCTTCAAGCCTAAGAGTGACAACAGCACTCCTCAGTTACCAGCCCCAAATATGGCATGCCTCTATGCATTAGAAGTCATGAGTCAGTCACTTTCTAAATAGCATCTTATTAAACCTCCTCCAATTGCTCCTGTGTTTCCTGTTGGGACCTTGATTAATAGACAATAAACAAGGCATGAAATACCTTGCCCTTATAGAGTTTATATTCTAGAAGGGGAAAATATGTAATTAAAAATTAAATAAAATAAGCAAAAAACCCCAAGGAAATTATTTTTGTGAAAAAATTGTTTGATGGTGAAAAACTAGTGAGGTACAGCACTAGATAAGGTATAAGTGAACTTTTTAGAGGCAGTGATCTGTAATTTGGGGCTGGGTTGACAAAGCCCCAAGGGAATAATGTTCAGGTAGAAGAAAACCAGTGGCACAAAGGTCTTGATTTAAAAATGAGAAAACACAAAGAATTCAGAGAAGGCCATAGTGGCTGGACATGGAATTCAGAGAGTATAGGACCAGGAAGTCAGGAACATAAGAGATAGATGCTTGGGCATCATGATGCCCAGTCTAGCACTGGCATACGCACCCCTTGAGGAGACTTACTAGTGATGCACATGTACCAGAATTGCTTTGTTACATATGTCATATTTTTATGCCTCTCTACCTGAAGACTCTAGAAAGGCAGTAGTATCAATAACAATTTCTTCCCCAATGGAAAATACAAGTCTTATTTGTATCTCTGAGTTACATTTCTTAAAGTATTTTATTATGTTTTTTTTTTTTTGAAGTTCTAGGCCAAACATTCTCCCCAGCCTCCAATTCTTTTTTTTTTTTTTTTTAAAAAAAAACATGCCTTGGGCTTCTCTATTTCAGCTTGCCGCTTCCCATCTCTGTGCCTGTCATCCGAAATGTCTAGACCTGGGATTGTTTTATGGCATTGCAAAATTCTCTTCCAGAGAGCCAGTCATGCTTGAAGCTCATTACTTCTCAGATAGTGTCTCCCTTGTGGATTTTTCCCCTTAAAAAATGTAGAGTCATTACCTTTGATATGATTGTAAAGATCAGAACCCTCACCGCAGGTGTCGAACTCTGGTAAAACTTTCTTCTCTCAGCCGGCTGTGTTCTGATCCCTTTAGCCCTGTCTGCAATGCACTAGCATCTTTACAACGCTGGTGGGAGCCTGCGGCACAGTTTCTGAATCTATACAGCTGAATCTGCAACGGTATCTCCCCCCATTCACAGAAGAGGAAAAGAATCATTTTGGGGGGATTTTTTTTGAAAATTATCCTTTAAAATAACTTTAACAAAATTTAAAATAAAAGGCCATTTAAAGTATGTTTTCTCTTTACATAAATCTTTTACAAAAGCAGGGATGTTTTTGATGATTGAATCAATGTTTAGAGACCATAATTCTACTTTATCAGTTTACTTTGCTCTTTGGATTAAGAGCATTTTTCAAGAAAGAGTTGTATTTCTTCATCTAATATTTAGGAAAGGAACTGTTGAAACATTAGAAATTCAGAATAGTACAGTTTTGGGGGAAGAGAACTTGCCCAATGGAGGACACTGACTGAATGATGCAAAAATCATTGATGCTTTTCAGAATTTATTCCAAATTTGAATCCTTGATTCACCATTGAAATGTTGGGGACAATAACAAATACAGAACACTCACAGTCGTTTTCTTACCAGAAAGAAAAACATGGGACCTGTCACAGGTGTAAATAGGTTACTGATATCACATCTTTAGTGATTTTGGACAGTTCTGACTTAGCCATTACTGCACAGTAACCACTAGATGGCAGGAGTGAACAACATAACAAATAATGCCTTCCAACATTTGAAACCAATTTTGAGTGTTTTCCTTTCTCCCTTCTCCATTTCTCATAAACTCTTGTGTTTTTTTTCATTCTTCCACTCTCTATATTCTTCACTGTATTTTCATTTCCAGATATAATTGTAAATAACTGATTCTTTAGAGTTGGATCTGCAAACCAGTCACATATACTTGTAATTTAGATACTAAAAATGCAAAAAGCATTTTCTCTAATTCAAGAGGTCTTTCATAACTGCTTTGTACTTGAGCTGGGGATAAAGCTTCAGAGGCTATCAAAGCTTAGCAAGACTTCTGCTTTCAGTACCACGATCTCACTCTCTGGCAGGTGGGTGTGTGTACGGGGATCAGCAGGACAGAAAATAAGAAAGAAATGCAGAGACCTCTGGGGCTCTGTCTGAACTGATAAGCCATATTTATCTCTGTAATATTATCAAAGAAGTATTTTGATAATGATCAAGGTGCTGAGGTAAAATTATCTGGAAATAAAAAACCCAACCCAAACAACCAACTAAAATAAGACAAAACAAAAACTAAGACAACACAATTCACCTACAACAGCACTTAAGAAATGAGCTACCACCTTGCTGATCCATTTAATAGAGAAATCTGTTTGAGTGACAGCCTTGTAATAGAGCCCCATGTGCGAGTGTGATTTAGGCTTCTTGTTCTCTCTCCTTCTTGCAGTCATTGTTGTTCTCTGTTCAGTAAATCTTTCTTCTATTTATTTATTTACTCTTGTATTCTCAAGGGCTTTTCCTTTTGAAGACTAGGGTTCTGGTTTCATAAGCAAGAGAATTTGAATTTGTCCTCTAATCCTTCAATTATTTAAAGAGAGAGCATCTTCAGAGGTTAGTGCTACCACTTGGGGGTGCTCCTTGAGCACTGTTGCTATCAAGGGGTTTGGCCAGATGGATGGTCATAGTTCTTAAAACTGGGGGGAATTATGGCATTGAGAAAGAGATGACTCTCCTCTCTTCCTTTGTCTGTGTCTGGTTTTTAGTCTCTGTCACACACGCAGGCGCATTCCCCAGAAATACACACATGAGAAAAGAAATCACACTTAAGCTAGTTTAAAAAGGAACCTGCCCAAACCAGATGAGATTATTTTTATTGTAACGGATGTGCTGAGTGTATTTTTTCCTGATGTAGAAGGTTAAGGGAGAGGAGAAGACAGCAGGAGGGAAGTTGAAGTAGAAGTTGGAGAGGTATCATTGTGGGTGATGGTTGAGGGGTACAAGCAGATCATGCAGGACCTTTTGTGCCATTTCAAAAATGGGCTTAACTTTGAGTGACAAGGAAAAGCATTGAGGGATTTGAGCAGAGAAATGGCAAGACCTGACGAAGGATCATTCTGGCTGTTGTTTTGAGAAATAGGTTATAGTAAGCCATGGGTGGAAGCAGGGAAATAATTTAGGAGAAAGTTGCAATAATAAAAGTGAGAATTGAAGGGATCTTGAAAACACACACACACACACAGACACTCACGCATACAGAGTTATTTCCTTCAGGAAACTTTTGTTCAGTGGGAGGGTTAAGTGAACAGACTGCTATGGTGTAGGTAAGTGCTGCCATACTGGCAGGCACAGGTTATGAACCAGGAAAGCATGTGGGGCTGTTGGGAGAACATTGGAAGGTCCCTTCACCTAGCCGGGTGGAGACTGAGAGAACCAGAAGTCCTCCCAAATAGGGAAATAGTGGGGCCCTAGATTTTTTTTTTCCCTCTCATTTTAGGACTCACATTAGAACATCAAAAACTCTGATGAAATCAGCTTCTTATAGATCTTCAGAGTCATGTTCAGCAGAGTTTGGCCAATTTCAATTGGGACACATCAATTTTGAGAATGGAAAGAGCCCTCTAGTGGAAATAGTCCTTAGTTTAGAGGTTCCTATTTGATATACTTTTCTGTGAGTTTGTGTGTGTGTGTGTGTGTGTGTGTGTGTGTGCGTGCGCCTCATGACACTATTAAAAGATATCTGAGATGCTAACTGTAGATATTCCAGGCCTTGTGCAACAGACTTGATAATGCAATTTTTCACCAATAAAATCTTTGCAGCTTGTATATGAGTTCAGTAAAATTTCTAGGCACTAGTGTCTCCTTACTCTAATAATCTAAAAATCCCAGTCTGCTTTAGGTGGAAAAGAATATGGCAATTTCAATTTTTACAACCTTACCTTAATTAATCTCTTATCTTTTCTGTGGCCACTGGCCAAATTGGTACACATGTGGGAGTACAGAATGACTTTCCCTTTTCTGAATACTTTTTCAATCTCTTTTATTACCAAGGGCTCTTTTACCTGACACACTCTTTCCTCTCTTCTTGTTTAGGTAAAAGTCCCACAGTTTATTCAGAGTCCAACATTACTTCTGCAATAGTACGACCAAACTACTACTTACTACTACTATTACTACTACGAACAACAACAACCATTATTTACAGGACAATTACTGTATTCTAAGAAACACCTATATCATCAAAACAACACTACAACACTACAAGGTAGGTGTTCCTATTCTTTATTTTACAGGTGAAGAAACTCAGTAGACCTGAGGGTCAAGTTTCTTGTCTAGCTCAAAGAAAGAGTGAAATCAGTGTTCCAGCCCTTTGTGATGGAGTGAAAATTCCAATGCTTTTAATCATGGTGATGCGTAGATGTTTCTGTGAACCAAAATCTCATTGTTCAAATATGATCACAGTTACTATCTCATCAGTTTATAATTATTATAGTGGATAATAAAGTCTTTAAAATAGAAGCTTTATTTCATCCTCATAAATGGACATTGCAGATTTTAAGTAAATATTTGCTAAATAAATGGAGAGCTCTTTGAAATGCACAAATAGTGTTTTGAATCTCCAGTAGTGTTTTGGTCAGCAGTGTGTGCAGTTTGAAAATAGATGCATGTATCTAGAAATTTTTAAAAACTACCTATAAAGAGTCACAAAAGCCAGATTTGGAAATAAAATTTGTTGGTAGCAAATCATTTTGTCATTAATACTTCTGAGCAACAACCACTGGTATTACTGTCAATGATTAAGAACTATATGACATGGTTCTTAATTATTCCTGAGAGGTCACTCATTTTATTTCACCAAATAAATGTGTAAGCAGTAATTGCTACAAATAAAGGGAATATGTTAAATTTTCTTTGGTGTTTGATATATTGGATACTCTTCACTAATACTGATTTTAGTGTTCTGAGTTATTCAATATTGAAAATTCTCTTGCTTATCTGAGTGAGTTATAAAGGTCTTAATTTCTGACAACTGTAATTTTACATTTGATATAAAAATTTTGAAGTTTCCGAATTATAAAACCTGATATAGTATGTATCTTTTTTAATTAAATTTTTATTTGTTCTTTTTAGATATACATGACAGTACAATGTATTTTTACATACATACATGGAGTGTAACTACTTCTAATTAGGATCCCATTCTTGTGGTTGTACATGATGTGGAGTTTTCACTGTGGTGTATTCATGTATGAACACAGGAGAGTTATACTAATATGGTATATATCTTGATGCACAATACTTGGAAAGTGTCACCTCTACTCCTGTCTTTGGGGTTCCAGTTTATGTTCTGGAGATACCCATTTTTTTATTGATTCACCATTGATTTCTATCTAGTATGGAAACCATTCCAATTTTCTTGCACTTTTGATCTGTAAAATATACCTCACAATGATTTTTATTTAGCAATATTAGATGAGAAATTAAGCAGAGAAAGAGAGAGACATGTACAAAGAGATGTAAGGGAATAAATATAAAAGAAATCTTTTTATTTGTAAAGGAATTCAGAATAGATCCTCTTGAAATCAAATAACATTAGTGACTACAAGATGTGAGTTTTATTATCAAAAACTTAAAAGCATTTGGAAGTTTTGAGGAACACTAACAGTTGCATAGTTCTTTGCTAATGATGGGTACTATTGTATAAACTTTTGTTGCTATACAAATAAAGCAGATAAAGCCAGGTATGTCTGAGAAGAATACTGATCACACCAGGGTGGTATAATCTGTAGAGCAGCTCTAAGCTAGCTGGAACAAAGCCCTGTCATTTTTGCAGGAGATCACATTTACTTTAATTTCTCTTTCTCAGATTCCTCAGCAGGGTCTCAATATGAGTGCTTGGCATAACTTTTGCTTTTGTTGTTCAAAATGATAGGATTAAGACTTGTCTCCTTTATTGTATGCCTATTTCTTCCTTTGACTTTTAATACCATGTTTAAAAACAAAATATATGCAATGCCTTCTGGGGATGGATAAAAAAGTAGAAAATACAATATTGTGAATCTTTATAAAATCCTATTAATTCATTCATCTGAAAACACTGGAGCAAGCTGTGTACAAGATGTGTGGCAGGTACTTACGGGTGCTATGGAGATGAACTCAATACTGTCTCTTCCCTTTATTGGTTACCAGCGTAGACTGGGGCTTCTCAGTAATTGCATTTAACAGTGTATGAAATAAGCACTGGAAGAAGGTTGCCAACAAAATATGCTTTTTATGTAGGGAGAGATTATTTTTTGGCTGGTTCATGGGGAAATGGTGTCTGAACCAGCATTTCAATAATGAAAAAGAAGGAAAGGAGTCCTTCTGAGTAAAGAAAATAATTGGAGGATGAATATCGCAGGGCATGCTTGCAGACTGACTGATGCAAAGGCAGTGTCTGTGTCTCTAAGAACTTGGGTCAAATGGGGGATGAGAAGCAAAACAAGACATTTGTCTGGATGGGTGAATTCATTCATAGGTGAATTCATTGCCAGAGAATGAGGAACTATGAAGGGGTTTCTGTGCAGGGTATTAACAGATTAAAGCAGTGTGTGGTAATATGAATTTGGTGCCAGCATTCATTGCTGAGGAGAGAAAAATTCTGGGCATTTAATTACAGGACAGTTGCAATGGGCTAATTGAGTGGAGTTAAGGAATAAACTTGGCTGAAAGGTGACATTTTTGGCTCTGAGGTCATAATTTGGAGAGGGGATGGTCTAAAATAATAAGGAAAATGTTTGCATACATGGATCCATCTTCATTTATTCTGTGAACAGTTGAACACTTAGCGTGTGCCAGACCTTGTGTCTATCCAGGTTTGAAAGAAATGAATGAGAGAAGCTCATAGTGCAAAAAGGGAGACAGACAGAATGATAATTCAACAGTCATACACATTGAGAGGATTTCCTTTCCTCCTAGTAATGCCATCAGTTTTCTCTTATCATCCTTATTTTCTCCCTTGGGTTGTTATAACCAGGCCAGAATCAGGGCCAAGTGAGGTATGTACCATCTTGGTAAAGAGGTTGGCTTTCAGTGGATGTAAAGGGTGTTTTTTATTTTTTCTCCCCAGATCCTATTTACTGCCTCAGGCTCATTGGCTGCTATTTAGCTAAGGATAAAAGAACCCAGACAGTGGAAGATGAAAGGAAGTGGAGGGGGAGGCTTGAAACCCTGCACAGAAGCACCTAATTGGCTAGCTTCCAAACCACCTCAGGCTTCCGCAAGATTTGACAAAGCGTTAAGATCTTGTTTTCAGGGACTGAATGTCTTTCAAAAGGGTGATAGATCCTCTTGCCAGGATAAAACAGAGTAGAATGAGCCCCCTTAGCCTACAATTGTCATCAATTCCCTTTATTTGGACGGCAATCCACTGATGAAGAGGGCCTGAGCTTCTAAAAAAGAAGAGGAAAAATGCTTCTTTATTACTCACCAGTCTTTGGGCTCTGTCAGCAACACTGGGAGCACTTGCCAAATAAAATGATTTAGCAGGTGGAAAGTAGTTTATAAGTGCAGTTTCCACCCCTTCCCCGAGGAACGTAAACGATGACTCAGACACCAGCAGTATCTCGGGGTGCAAATGAGATTCTTTGGGTTGGTCTTCTGAGTTGGCTCATTGGCACAAGATCGAGCTGGGTTTTGCACGGACTGGGTTAATGAGACACTCTGAAGTATAACAAGGGCACAGACAAGTGCCAGGCACATAGAAAGTGCCTAGCCCCTAGGGAAGATCCTTTATGTGCTCTTTGTTCACATCCCTTTAAGTTCTCCACTGCCTTCTCCACTGTGGCAGACACAAAAGGAGGGAGACCTTTAAAAAGAAGACATTGTATTGAAAATGAAGCAAAACTAATTATATGACCCCACAGTTAAGAGTGCAACTTTGTAAAGTCACATGATACATATCTACATCTGCAAATATCACATGTAAGATGTATTTGTCATTTTAATCAAAGCATTTTATACTGAAAAAGAACACTAAATTACCTTTCCCCCAAATCAAGTGCATTTCATATGTGATAGTTATTGGACAAGATCATTTTTATGAATGAAGTGAATTTATCTTCATTTTCTTTCTTTTTTTCAATTTGGTCAATTATTAAATAAATCCAATGGATGAATTTAAAAATTTTGTATATATTAATTCAAATGATGTATATCTTATGTTTTTTTCTCTTTTCAAAGCAACAACAGACTAGTGTTTTCAAATTTTGATGCCCTTTTAAATTGTTAGTATTTTACTTCTAATTTCAATTTCCTTAGACATAGTTTTAGCCCAGAATTTTTCAGACTAGTTTTTAAAATTAAAAAAATTGCAAGTTAATACAAGGGAGGAAAAAAACCCATAAGACTTAAAAAATGGTCTTCAGAAGTTGTTTATCCTTGTTGGTTTCCCAGAAAGGCTCACACCATTAGGTGTTCAGGTTGCTCTTCAGTTGTGTGCACGATATTCTGAGTTTTTAATTATATTTGAAATCACTGCCAGTACTCCTGTTTTAAAACAATAAAAGGGCAGCAAAAGGTCATTTAATAATATGTGCTTTAGAAAAGCAGTTCTTCCATGCTTTGGTGAGGAACATCCATGGCCAGAATAAATATTAATTTCTACAGATTTTTACTGAACATATGAACTTTCTATTAGATTTTAAGCATGCACATTTCCTCTCAATTTTAGTGAGAAGAAAAATTACCCAAGAAAAAGAATTACAAAGCAGTTCATTAAAAATGGAGATTTCCATATTCTATTTTTGTAGGTTTGGGGAGGGTTGTTGAGTCCTCACTGTTAGAAAATCCTCTTTGGTGTTTCTGAGGACATTCAACCTTTGGAAAACACTGTGTCTGGGCTTTTGAACCTGGTCTTAAGACAAATGCCACTCAAATGTTCACTGTTCCATTGTGTCCTTCTATCTCTCATAGTATTCACTCACCTTTCTGCAAACACAAATCTGAGCATACCACATTCTTGTTAAAAATAAAGTAATTCATTTTTGTGGTTTTCATATTATAATATAATTCTTTGTAAATTTAGAAACAGTCCAAATTACTTTTAATTTCTTGGCATGAAATTTGCATAGGGATGGAGGAATTTCTCATGGATGATTAAATATTTGGATAAAACAGTAGATAATCACCTACCATTCAGACTTGTCCACAGTACTTTAGAAATAGAGGAAGAGTCTGCAGAGTTTCTTCAGGAAGGGAGAGTGTTTGGAATAATTTAGAATCAAT